AATGTAGAATATCATTAATATGTCAAATTTAAAAATACTTTAATGTACTTCCGTTAATAAAAGGCCTACTTCCTGTAAAGAAAAGAAGTCATTTTTTAAATAGAATTTAAATAAAAAGAAAATGAAGAGAGATATCTCTTTGCAGAGTTATTTCTTTTAGACACTTTTGAAAGATATCTCTTTCACTCTAAGAACTATCTCTTAAGATAAATTAGGAGAGATATCTCTTTTACTTGGAAAGATATCTCCAAAAGTAAAGTAAAAAAGATATCTCTTTAACGTTTAGAGTTATCTCTTTTTACGAAAGAGTTATCTCTCAAGAAGAAAACGATATCTTTTCAAGTGACATTTGAGAGACATCTTTCAAATACGAAGTCAAAGATATCACTCTAAATATAAGGGATATCTCTCTAAATATAAGAGATATCTCTTTCTCAAAGAGATATCTCTTAAAAATGAGAGATGCCTTTAATTAATATGGGAGATATCTCTTTTTTCAAGAGATATCTCTTTAAAAAGAAATATATCGGTGTCATTTTAAGATAAAATTTATTTTCCGAATAAATAGCAAAAGGGATTGTCATACTTTAATCTTTACATTTTAGTGCCACTTGGAGTCTTTACTTTTTTTCTACACCTCAATATGTAAATCTTTTCACTTTAATCTGTAAAATCAACAATTAAATTTGTAAAATTTACACTTTAATCTGTAAAATTTACACTTTAATCTTACTGATATCATCATTTAGTGATATTGTCTTCTTGATTCTATGGAAATTAAATCCATTATTTTAATGATCCTCATATTCCTGATCGGAATTCTCACAAATTCTCAAATAAAATTGAGAAATTATATACATAAAATGAATCATTTTCGCTCTTATTATGGGTCCACCGGGGGTTGAATGTTGATGTTACATTTTTCATTATCTGACTTTGTGCCTGCGCCATGTACTCATACCAGCTACACATTTATCTCATATATCATCAAAGAGAAAAAAAAAATATTTGTAAATATCTTGCTTTTTTAGCTCTTAATGTATTTCAAACGTATATGCAATTTTTCACCGAAAAACATTTATTAGAAAAGAAAAATATACACACTGCGGGACGTGGAGACCGGTCCTTCGGATGAGACCGTATAAACCGAGGCCCCGTGTCGCAGTAGGTGCTGGCACGAAAAAGATCCCTCACTGCTCAAAGGCCCTGAGTGCCGAGCATAGGACAAAATTTGTAGCCCTCCACCGGCAAGTGGTGGCGTCTCCATATGAGTGAAAAATTCTCGAGAGGAACGTTAAACAACAAACAATCAATCAATCAATAATTTCCGAACAACTCACGTATGTTAAAAATAAACTTATTTTTAAAATTTCTAGTTATGACTTTTTGTCACGATTTATCTCCAGGCTTTTGAAAAAGAGATGGAAAGACTAAAAAATGAACAAAAGATTACAAACACAAGATTAAAAACAATACTACACAACCAAAACAAATTCGGGAGAGAAATTTCAAGATTGGAAAGTTCCTTAAGAAGCTGGAATAACGTTCCTCGTACCATTTCTCAGCTACAACCTACACTACCCGGTGAGTTATTCATTTACTGTTTAAGGAAGTTAGATGCTGCTATCAAAAGTTTCGAGGATTTTTGTATCATTTTATTTATAGAATCTACACACATAGTTGAATGAAAAAAACATTTTTTGGAATCAAAATAGTATCAAATTATTCGCTTATGCAATTATTTGACCTTTCTGCACTCCAAAAAATGTTATTTTTCTTGCGTTAAAAATTTAAAAATCTATAAAGATATTTGAAAGCTGCATGTAAAAATAGGATAATTCCTAACCTACCGATACTGAACACTTCAAAAGAGATTTCTTTCGTTTGAGGAACGAATTAGACAGAAATCAAGTTCTACTAAGTGTGATAATGAATGACTTTTTTCAGAATTACAGGCACGAATTTTTCGGGTTTTCATTTCGAATACCTCTTTAATATATCACGTGGTTCTTTAGAACTGGTCTCGTTAGCAAGATATACACCCCTACTAACGTGTTCTTAACCTTTTATTTTTCGGTGTTCTGCGCATTATAAAATCAGATGAGTTCAGAGTAGCTCGATCTAGCAGTGGCTCTGACGAGAGTTAGTAAGACTACAGCGTGATAGTGTGAATTATTTGAAGAAATGTGGCTAGGAAGTGACTAGCACGTGGAGAAATGGTAAACAGAAAAGTTATGTTGCGTTTCAGTTTTCAACTCCCCCCCCCCCCCCACCACCACCACCACCACCATATTATCTGTAGAAGTGTACTTCAATCGCTTTCTCTTGAATTTATTCAATTTAAATAAGTATCCTCTAGAATGCAATTTTCTGCAGTCACGAATAAAAATTTCTTTTTGGACAAATATTTTGCATGGGAACCGGGACTATATTTTTGGGCGTCAAATTAGCAAATGAGGCACCAACATGACTTTAGCTGACAAATCAGCTGCATGGGAATTGTATTATGTGTTACTGCGAACACTACAGACATTTAATGCTTGAAAAAAGGAAAAACGATCGGAAAGGCACAAAGACCATTTTCCCATCCATTTCGTAATTGAATAGCACCTTTTTAAAGAAAAAACTATTATTTTTTTATGCTCACAATGACAAACAATTTATTTGTTAGATAAAACGTTGGAAGTCTAGGTTTTCAAAGTCAAACAGCAAAGTGATTTGTTTCTGTATTAAATTCCTTTGCTGTACTATCGGTGACATCGATGTATCATTGAATACAATTGTCAGGTATCTCAAGAATAGCAAAGCCATGTTTGGTCATAGGACTACTTTTGGAGTTAAGCTTTTTAAAAAATAAACCAATTTCTACTTTTCCGATCCTAGCCACAATGATCAGGTGAGCGATGTGGACCATGGGCCTCTTGTTTTCCAGCGTATCGGTCGCTAGTGAGCTCTGATTTTCGCCATAATTATGATAAGATATATTTTAATTTTAACACTCTACTTTAGCCACCTTTTTCTATTAAAAATAAATTCTTTCAAAAAGGTACGGAAACATAGACTGTAGCAATTTCCTACGAAAGCCCGTTGAGGCCAGTTCAGAGAAAGAAATATTTTTTTATTTTTATTTTATCTAATCTTTGCGTTTAGTTGCAATAATCATTGCGTTTAAATACATGACAAAAATCCGAATGGAATTGAAGAAGACGGTGGTGTTCTGAATTTGCAAAGAATGGTTATAACTGTTTTTTCCTTGGTGACTATTTAACTCTTTCCAAAAAAAAAATTATTGTAAAATTATGTAAAAAAAAAAATTATCTTCTTTTTGTATATTGATTTATCTTGATATGATTTAATTAATAAAGTTTTCCGTAACTGTTAAGTTTGGATTTCTATTTTTACATCCAGCATGCATGAAATTTTCTATGTAAGTCTAAAATTATACAATAAATTAACTGTCGTAAATTTTATCATTATATTTGCTAAATATATCAAATATATTGTGAAAGTCCTTTGGGGATGGTCAACTTTGAGCTTGAAACTTTTTAGATATAACTAAAAATTAGCGTCACAAACTGCCTTTTCGTTTATTATTTTTTATATAAACGAGATGATTTTGAACATTCGGCAAAAAAATGGCATTAGGCCTACTTTCAAATCATTGTTTGCTTTGTAAATTTTTAACACCAGAAAAAACATTTTTAATAAAGAAAGGACACTGCAAAGTAATTTGAAACTATTTTTTGTCACAATTTTTTATGAAAATATTCAGGACGTAAAAATATTGTGTTTATTCCAATAATTCATTTGGATATAAAATATTACAGGAAATACTTTGAAATAATGATTTATGTGTTAAAGGTAATTAGGTGCAAAGTTTAAAATGTCACTATTAAAGATTGTGCTTGATCCAAATGAATCAAATGATCCAAATAATTTTAATAAAAATTAATTACGGAAAACCTTTGAAAAATTAATTTATGTGTTAAACGTAATTACAGTGCAAAAAGGTCATATTAATTGCTATGTTATCTTAAAGAAGCGCACTGACCCCCATATTTTGCCTTGATTTTTTAAGCTATGTGTGAACATTCAAAATATATACTATAAAAAAACTCTGGATACTTTTTATAATAAGAACCAAACATTTGCGCTAAATAATTCAGGTTCTTGATTTATTTTCTTTTAGATATAGTTGTCTATCGTTGAAAAAACATGCAATGAGTATCAATGAACTAAATTGATATGAGTTGTTGCTTTATGTGATCACATGCATTTGATACTAGAACAAAACTCTTTTTAAAAGAAAATATGTCTTTTTTTCATAGGATCATCAGAAGATGAATGTGTGCACGGTGAAGTATTACGGGAGAACATGAAAAAGATTGTTCAAGAAATACGTTTGTCAGATTCGTTATTGATTGATGAATTGTTGGAGCAAAATTGTTTTACAGAAACAGACGCACAAGAAATAAATGAAATGAAATCCTGTAATAAAACGAGGCAAATGATTTTACTGCTCAGTCGTAAAGATAAAACTGTGTTCCGAAAATTTATTAATATCATCTCACAAGTAGAATATTTTCCACATATTGCCACACTGTTAAATGATTCGTACCGGAATAAACTACAAAAACCAGAAAAGAGAAGCAAATGCATTCCGTGCTTCATTGTGAAGAATGTCGATATCATGCGGATTGCTGATTATCTTTACCAAAGTCACGTCATTGATTTTAAAACTCTTCAAGATGTTATGACGGGGGATAAACCAGCTTTGGACTCTTTCTGGCAACTAATTTTTAACAAAATGACAAATCCATCTCATGGAAAAATGTACATGTCCAATCTCAAGTTTGCTCTTCTTGAAAGTTACAATCACATCGCTAAAAAAATCCAACGCCAAAGCCAGCTGATTTGTTATTGTTCATCTAGTATCCTCTCCTTTCCAAGTAATTGCAGCGATAATACTTCCGAATTTAGTACGACCTCAACAATTGTACCACCACAACCGAGTCATTATGCTTCTTACTGGATTAAACAGTTGCAGGAATTGAACAATGGAAGCCGAGATGATGCTTCTCATTTCTACAGTGATTCTGATGAAGCTATAATCCCGAAACAAGTCTCAAACAAGATTAGAAAACGAAAACGCGTGTCAGAGGAGGAAGAAGAGGATATGAAGAAAAAGAATCAGAGAGAAGACGAAGAAAATGAACGGGAGAAAAAAATAGATGAAATAGAGAGCAAAGATGAAATGGAAGAAGAGCAAATTGAAAGCGAGGAGGGAGAAGAGGACGTGGACACAGAAGAGGAGGAAGAGGCAGACGAGGAAGAAGGGGAAAATGGTGTAGAAAAGGACAAAGAAGAAGAAGAGGAGGAGGAAGAAGAAAGAGATTGTTGGGCGGTAGAGGAAGAAAGAGATTGGTGGGTGGTAGAGGACGAAGAATGTCAGGAAGAGGGAGATGAGTCAGAGAAGGAAGAATGGGAAGAAGATGAGAAGGAAAGGGCAGATGAAGTACAAGAGGGAGAGGAGGAAGATATGGATGAAATGGTGGATTAATGTCGAAGAAGAGGAGGAGGAAGAAGAAAAGGGAGAGGAGGATGAGGAGGAAGAAGGAGAGGAAAAAGTTGTGGAAGAGTGGTGAGACAGGGAGGATAATAAAGAAGTGGAGAAGGATGAAGATAAGTAGAATGCAGTTGAAGAGGAGGACATAGAGTCAAAGGAAGAAGAAGAATTTATATAGGATCTTCCACGATTTACAGTTGGATATTATTTTTATCCAACAAAATGTGTGTTTTTATCCCTAAACATTGGCTAGGGGATAAAAACACGCAAGGAGTTGAATACAAATCATATATACCTACTTATATGGGAAATTCTTTTTATCTAACGTTTTCACATCACTATCAATGTTTACACAGTTTAGATATAGGAATTCACTCCATTTCACTTCATCGAGATAACACAAAACCCACTGTGAAACCACCACTGGGGATATTATACATTTATTGCATGATAGTGAGGGGGATATGAAGATTTCTTATGTTCTCCTTCGTTTCACTCATCCGAACATAAAATATTTCTATTCTAAGTATCTTAGTGAATAAACAACAGAACACAGATATAGAATGTGATAAGCGCCTATCAACCAGTTCGACAACAAATGCATTGCATGCATTTAACTGTAAAAGAAATGATCGAAGTAAAGCTGTAAAAGCAAGTTTGTTTTTAAATATATTTGAAACACACCAGTGAAAAGGAAATCTATAATAAAATTTTATGCCCTGTTCACACGACGAGTTTAATTCGCAGTAAATTAATGCGAAGTAAACTAATGCAAATTAAAATAATGCGAATTAAATTGCGTTCACACGACAGCTAATGCGAAGTAAACTAATGCGAATTAAAATTCTACTTCTACGGCCAGGCGTCAGTAAGGCTATTATGACGTCATTTGCAAATCACGTCACCTTATGTAGGAGCAGATGCATTTGACATAATGTCACAGTGTCTGTACACACATTTTGGTGATTAATACAGTATTCCTTAATTTTTCACGCAAAAATAGCACAAATATTTCAAGCTGACCACGGACATGTAGCATTTGACCTAATTTTGCCATTACGCATGCCTCAAAATTTAATTCGAATTAGCTTCGCTTAGCGTTCACACGGAGCTAATGCGAAGTAATTTAATGCGCAGTAAACTAATGCGAAGTAAGCTAATTCGCGTTAAATTCTCCGTGTGAACGCTAAGCGAAGCTAATTCGCAGTAAACTTACGTTTAATTCGAATTAAACTCTCCATGTGAACAGGGCATTAATAAAATAATATTTGAATTTTGGCCGTAAAAAAATTATCATTCGATACTGTAATGTAGGTGTTTGGTTACTTCTCAACTACAGGTTTAATAAAAGTTTCTTCACTCTTTTAAATCAAAGTCTGTGACTGTAAGAGCACCGATTATTAAAGAGATTAATATAATATTGTATGTCCATAATATGTTATTATATGCTTCATTAATTACATTTGTACGATACAATCTATGATAACTTATGATGATTATTAGAATAAATAAACGGCAACAAAGGATTATCAGGTAATGCAATTACCCAGGACTTATAAAACTTGGAAAAATAACCTGTATTTGTATGTTTGTTCACTCTCTACCATCGGCTCATACATTCACCTCTGTCGTTGGCTCGCGTATACACAGTGTTAAACACGAGAAATAGTGCGTTTGTTTTAATTCATTATAATTCAATTTATACGTTTATGTCTGACTTTTCAGATAGATATTTACTAAATTAATCCAGAACTATTCATTTAATTTGAAACAATCCTGCAAATATTACTTTTTATACGTTATGTCAAAAATCTTGACGTGAGCCCATTGCAGAGGTGTCTGAGAGAGGAACGAACGACAACTCTGCATAGGAGATTGATGTTTGTTATCACTCTAAAATTCAATACTAAATCCTTCATTTAGAGTTCCGTGTCCGTAAGTCTAGGCTCCGGAATCTCAAATTTATTTTAAAAGCAAAAAGCTACGTGTAAACTGAAATTTAAAATAATACAGTTATTTCATATGATATATAGTAATTTATGACCTAGATGTTGATCAGAAGCAAGGCAAGTGTCATACACAGGAATGTCACATTGCTTACAGTACATTGTGTTTGTCATGAATATTACACCCAGGGAATAGGAGAGTGGATTTTTTAAGCTTGAACTTAGGGCACAACTTCATATTTTTTGGATTGATCAGATACCATGTGTTCTCCTACGCAGGCCTTACACAGGTTGACAAGACATGTATCACAGTGCATCTGAATTACAGCGGTCTCACACAGGTCACATCGCATCACGTCCTGGGCACTGGTACGGGGGTCCATTGTCAGACTAGACCTAAACTGTATAGATCAAAAGTGGCAATGTTTAATCTAATATAATTGTGACACCTCAGTTTAATGACTGTGATCATTACTATCAAGCCTGATGAATTTATACCTGTTAAAGTCCAGTAGAAGGGAAATGATAAAATTAAATATATTTTAGATTATTAATGTTTGACAAATGGCTCTGAATTATAAAAGTCAAGTGCCAAAAAAGTCCATGTTTTATTTTGTCATGTATGTTAAGCGAAGTCTTTCAAATCACACACCAAATTATTGTTACCTTAGTTAAGGGGGGCCTATGTCGTTCTACGTTAAAGCAGCGTTATGTGACGTCACAATAGCGACGTTTTTTAACCTGTTGACTTTTGCAACTGTGATATAGGCATACATGTAACATTGTTATTAATCAATAACGTTCACAATTTACAAAAAGAAAATTTATTCATCATTAATAACAATTTATTTGATTTATGGAGTTTGTTAATATTAGAATCTTCTTTCTTTGGTTAATAAATTCATAGCAATTTCAGTTGTTAAGAAATACCTCGATGATATGCTGATATATAAGTGCAAAAAGATTTAGGATAAAATTCAACAAATAAAGCGGCTTAAATCAGGGAGATATATTTAATTTTATGTTTACCATTCATTGTATTTTTTGGATAAAGCTAAGAAAAAAATTAAGAAATGTACTTGTACTTATATTTGCTGATTGATTTATAGTACATGTAGATTTTATTGTATAAAGTCATTCCTAGGTTCTAATAGGTGTTGGTTGTTGACGGGGAAATGGGGGGAGAGAATTCGAATGATCGGAATGAAGAAGAAAAGAATTAATCTATTTAAATTGTTTCAAATCAAAACAAAATACTTGTTTTTCGCAAAATAGTTTTATATTCAGATGTTTGTCAGTGCTTACTTACCTTTTTTAGTGCAGAAAGGTAATTATTTATGTCACAAGAGTGCGAAAATAGAAGAAATCGTCAAATTTCTCGTTTATTTTATCATAAGGGTACACTTTTTTCTTTGTTATAATAAAGAGATGAATCATTTCTTTTAAATAATATAGATAAGAACATTTTCGCACAAAGACTTTTTAAGATATTACATTGTACCTATTATGAATGTCGGAATTGTAAAAAATACGACAAGAAAAAAAGGGGTGATACTTACATTGTGCTTCATTATAATTTTTCATGCAAGATGGATTACAATAAATTTGCCTACATTTTAATATATAAGTCATATTATTTAAATACCTATTGTTTTTGAATGTTATTTGATATTTTTGGTTCTTTTTAGAGCATATTTTGGGTAGAACAATAATGTCTGAAAATAATCTATTTTTAGCATTTCACACTGTTTTTACACGTGCTCCTGTCTAAAAATAAGCATATAAAGGTATTGTTTTTCATACCTAAAACTTATGAGCAAGTGGTCAGGAAAGAAATGTCAAAGTTTGGAAATTTCACACAAAGACTTTTCGGACATAGGTCTCCCCTTAAATGGTGTCTGTCTTGTCTGCCAAATACTGTCTGTATCTATCATGTATAGGGATCACCTGACACACTGACCTGCTCACCTGTACAGTATATCTACCTGTTTATACTTGCTGGTTTACAATTAGTGACAAGAAAACAATCTTGACGCAAGCGTCAAAGATATCAGGCCGCAAAACCTTTTAAGGATATTTTAAACACTAGATAGAATGTTCTATCAATAAAATGATAAATGTCCTACGGATCAGATGTTGAGGGCTTGTCCCGAGGTACAGTTAGATTATTCTAACTATTAAAACACAGATGAGGAATGTTTTTTTTAACCAATCCACACGTATCTTTGTTTAATATATTTAAAATACTAATAAATTTATTTTAAAATAAGTCTTATAGTACAGATTACAATTTATCCCATTTTATGTCAAATGATATGTGTGTAAAATTACACTAAAGTACCCTGGAATAAGGATGAAGAATACAGAGGGCCCTTTTTCAAACACAGAGCAATCTTGGATTATAAATTAGAAGAATGGATGCCTGTCTGTTCATCTCTTACCTACCAACCCTGATGTTAACCCAAAATTATGGACGCGTTGGCCCATATAAAAAAATTCCAATATGGCGCAAACAATTAAAATGTTTACTTAGTCAGAACTTTTTTAGTTCATAATCCCTTCGCAAGATTGTCACCCGTTTCCTTGTGCTCAATTACTACAATTCACTGAAGTTGCAAATTTGAACTATACTATATGTATGCATTATTTCCAAATAAAATTTTGGACTAACTGAAGTGTGCTTTACATGATTCAATCTGTTTTACATCTTTGACCGTGTTCTCAAATACAATTGCCCATGGGTTGAGGTATATGACATTATTATCTTGATACCATTGGAATTTTATAATCAACTGGAAACTGACCTGGTCATTGCAAAGAGCATATCCTTTTCGGATTTCATAAGGAATCAAAAAGGGCTAATGAAATCATCATGTTTAATATATTTAAAAAAAACTGTAGATCATAAATTCAATTTAATTTTTATAATAAACATTTAAAAAGTTATGAACATTTCTGAATTTTTAAACAGTGTAAAAAGGAATACTTCTCCTTGAAAGGAGTGCTCCAATGACCATTTAGAAACATGAGAAAACAATGAATATGAGTGCAAGTAAAACGTTTAATAACAAATATATGCGGTTTGGATTTCCATGAAAAAAGTAATATGTATACATTATAAAGGTTTAATTACAATGATTTGCATTTCCTTGCCAAAAAATATGAGATAAACAGGTACATGATTTATAACTTAATCCGAAACAAACACCGTACAAGTTCCTATCTTAAAGCTTCGGTTGACCTCATTTTAATGTTTACATTCTGCGTAGTCTATTTATAGAATAGATAAACTTTGTTTATGCGGCATTACTGTAACGATTATTTTAATACATAGAAGAACTTAAATACGATGAAATATTTTTTAAATAATAAAAACAATAAAATATGTATATAAAAGGAAAGAGAGTTATACTTAGTTAGCTAAGGTTTAATTAATTAAAAACCCTTAATCCCGCAGAAACGCATGTACAGGACAGACCGCGCTCTTGCGCGGCCTGTAATAAACAAGAAACTTTGCATTATATCTGCAGCTGGTATATCTTATTGTATTTTTTGGGTTAGGGTTAGGGTTTATATCTTATTGTATTTTTTGTTATTAAGCAGGAGGCAAATGGGCCACATTGATCAAATTAGCACTTTCACAAGACAAAAAACAGGTATCAGTTCAGTATTCAAAAGTTTAAATGAGTGATTCTAGAGCCTACCCTACCCTGGGGTAGGTTCTAGAACCACTCATTTAAACTTTTGAATACTGAACTGATAC